GCTCGGGGCGCAGGTCAAAGCTGCTCTGCAGAAAGACTCTCACTTGGCATCTGTCCTTGCGCGGGCAGCTGGCAGGTGACTCCTGGGCCCTCTCCAGCGCCCCACGCTCGTCATGAGGAGCGGAAGGAACGGGCTTGGCTTTGCAGCGGGATGACTTCTGGCCTCGCCAAGGGAGCCGGGGGAAATCCCGGCATTTCCAAGCCAACAGGTGGCCCAAGGAACGCGTCTCTCTAAGTGTCCAGGACCAGTCCAGTACAGGGCAGCAAAGTAACTCAGGCTGTGTCAGGCGAGTCTCCTCTGCCTGTGTTCCCTGCAGCCCCACGAAGTTGAGTCCTAGTCTTGTCCCAGGTATGGAAATGGGCCCGGGTGGTGAGGTGACCTGCCTTCAGCCCAGCCCACTGCAGAGTCTGGAGCTTGACCTCTGTCATTCTGCCCAACTGGCACGTCCCGGCAGACTCCACCCTCCAGTGCCAGCTCCCTGGTGGCGTCCGGGTATTGCTGCTCCTGAGTTCTTTGCAGCGGACCTGGGGGGGCCCTGGGTGGCCCACAGAGACTTCAAGTCTGCGCACACCCCACACCAGGCTCACCCCCTGGAGAACATCAGTTTTCACCATCCCTTAGGAGGGGTCTGTGTTCCTTTTCAGAATCTGGATCCTGCTCACACGGTGACCCAGTGAGCGGGGTTCATTGGTTGGACCACACCTAGACCCTGGGGGGAGGGTGCTTCCTGCTCTCACCCTAAGCAGTTCCCTGCCGCCGGTAGAATCTGCACAGCCTCTGGGCTCCGTCCTTGCTCTGTGCGTGAGCAGAGACAGTGGTGGCAACATCCTCATGGTCACTGCTCGGCCTGCATGTCCGGTGTCAACGAGGACGCAGCGCGAAGCCCTCCAGGATTTCAGCTGTGCCCCGCCCAACTTCCCTACAACACACAGCGTCACGGTTCTGGCTCCGGCCACAGGGCCACGCTCAGTGGGTGCTCCTTGGGTGCCAAGTCCTTCCCGCACAGTAGGGCTGCAAGAGACAGCTCAGCCCCCAAAAGGTATGGACACGAGGACCCTTCTCCTTCTCCCTGAACCTTTTGGAAACCCGAACCCCCTCTCTGTCGCCAAGCCCACCCAGCCCAGCCCCCGGCCTCCACCTTTCCCTTGCCCAGTGACATAATGAGATCTTTGCTTTGTTGCAAAAGGAGGGGGGGGGGTTCCCACCCTCAACAACCAACAAGAAATAATTAGTGCACATTGTGTCATTAAACAGTAGACTTTAATTAAATCGCATGGAGATAAATACCTCTAACGACTGGAAATCTGGAGCGTGCAGACAGCCGACCACTCAGCGTAATGGAGTAATAGACTCGGCAAATAGCGTCAAGTCAGGGATTCCGACTTGATTAAGAATCTGACTAAATTGGGTTGTCACCTCGCATGCTGCACCTACTACCTGAAAATTGCTCATTATCTTCCCCATTTGATCTTCTTGGAGCTAACAAGCCTTTGCGGAAATCGGCCCAATGATCAAAGGACCCATTTATTTGGAATTCTTTCTCGCGGCGGGGTCCGCCTGGCCCGTGTCTCCTGCCTCCCTTTCTTATTTGCAATGAATCATCACCTGGCTGCGGCCAGCGGGGAGGCCAGGCTGGAGGTGACCTCTGTGCTATCTGAGACGCGGTCCCCTCAGTCACCCCGGCTGCGGCCCGAGGCGGCTCTCTCCCTTCTCTTTGCCCCCCACCAGCAGCCGGCACCAAATCTAATCTCAAACTTCTCCCTCCTCACACCTGATTTCTGCTCCTATGTTTGCTGCTGCTGCTGTCAGGAGAGTCTAAGCACCGCCAGCCATCTTCTCGCCTGCCCTGGCCAGAAGCACAGTGCTGCAGGCGGCTCTGATGAACCCTCAGCCGAAGGGCTCCCCATTTCCTCACTAGGCTTTCCAGAAGCCTCTCCACTGGGGTCCAAGCCTGCCTCTTCAGTCCCCAAACCAATGTCTTCTACATGCCTTTGCAGAAAGCTTTGCACCCCGATCACCACGGGCCCCATTCCAAGTCTGTTTCGCCTTATCTCTTAACCCTCTCTCATTCTGTTCACTTGCTGTGCTCTTCCTGTGGTCACCCCCTGGCAAGGCCATGTGCCCTCCCCTGGGCCTGCAGGGAAGTGTCCTAGAGAAGCTTAAATTCAGGGGCATTTGCTTCCAGGTCCATCTAGGCCTGCATTCCAGCGGGATGTCACGGGCTAGGAATCTGCAGCAAATACCATTTAACCACTTAACCAGGCCGTACAAACTGCCTACTACGTGCTCGGCAGGCAGCGAGCCTGAGAACAAGGCACAGAGCCAGAGAGCACTTCTCTGCACATGCAGAGTCGGGGGTGGGGTGCTGGGGAGTGAGTGAAAACTGTTGAACCAACATGATAGAGTGACTTGGGAGCCAAGGTGTTAGGGGCAGGTGAGGAAGATGAGCGTGCAGGAGGGGACCCCTCATTTGACCCTTTGCAGCGCTCTCAGGAAGGATCGCTAGCTTGCTACCTATTTACAAACAAGAGGCTGAGGCACGAGGGTGAGTATGTTTTATCGTATTAAGCTGCTCGGCAAATGGAAACTCTAGGATTTAACAAATCCGTGGACACAGGGAACAAAAATATTCTTGACTGCTAATAATTTCTGGTGGTGGTGATGGTGAATTGGCACGCAGACAGCCATCACTCAGTGTTCCTGGGCTTGGAGTCAGCTGAAGCCAGCAAGATTTCAGTCGGGGCATGTCCAGCAGCAACTCCCGGGAGACAGACAAACCGGGTCTGTGGGTCTGTGTGGGCAGGGCCATGCCTGGATATAAAAGACCCCTGGCTCTTCACCCGATACCCCATGTCAAGGGTCAGAGGCTCTGAGGGCAAGGTGAGAGTCAGATCTGGAGCTGAAGGACAAGGGTGAGATGGAAACAACCAAAGAAAAGAATCCACTACAGAGGTGACTCAATAATTCACAGGGCTCCTTTAAATATTTAGCTCTCTGGCTGCTTAAAATGTAGAACCATATCTTTAAATATACATGTCTATTTTGTAGTTTGATCACAGAAACATGGACAGCACAGGCAGCAGGATGGATGAGGGTGCAAGGGCGCGGTGGGGGGCTGGCACCCTTGGGACATGCAGACCAGACAAGCAGGGAGGAGAGAGCGTGCTGTTGGGCGGCCCCTCCCCCAGCATTGTTGAGTGTTGGCTGGGTGCTGGGTGTGTGGAGGTGATCTAGCTCGCTCATTCATTCACTCCTCTGGCTTGCTGGTTCTGGAGCTGAACCGCTGTGTGACGCTGGCCTGCTGCTCCCCTGTCCTGGGCCCGGTGTCCTCCTCCACCAATGGCCTGTGATGAGAAGCAAATGAGTTGATGTCTGGGGAGTGCCTGGAACAGTGTCTAATGTGTTCTAAGGGCTCGATACAGATGATTACCACTTTCAGGATATAGTGACCAAGAGTTACTACATGACATGCTGTGGCTAGAATGATGAACTCAAAAAGATAGTTCCTGCCTTCGAGGGGACTTCATGGGGGCACAGGCAATAGATTAGTAAACAGATCTGCCAACAACTTACTAAAACAACTAACAACAGCACATGTTGGTGACGAGATGAGAAAAAGGAGCTCTCCTGCACTGCTGGTGGGAATGCAAACTAGTGCAACCACTATGGAAAACTGTTTGGAGATTTCTCACACTGCTAAACTTGGAGCTTCCATAGGACCCAGCAATCCCACTCCTAGGTCTCTACCCAAAAGACACAAAAACACTGATTCAAAAAACTGATTCAAGACACCTACACCCCCATGTTTATTGCTGCCTTTTTTACAGTTGGAAAGACACAGAAACAGCCCAAATGCCCAAAAATAGATGACTAGATTATAAAGTTGTGGTACATAGATGCAATGGAATATTACTCAGCAACCAAAAAGATAAACACGTGTCTTTTGCAGCAACATGGATGGAGCTAGAAGGGATCATGCTTAGTGAAATAAGCCAGGAAGAAAAGGAAAAATATCAGATGGTTTCACTCAGAAGTATAAAGGACCAGGGGAGAAAATAATAATAATAATGAACAACTACATATCAGAGACATTTTACGGGGGTGGAGTGGGGAATGGGATCAAAAACGGTGGGGGGAGGAAGTGCACTGGACTATGGTGATGGCACACGGGTGATTTGGTGATGGGAAGCTCACGAGGATTACAACTAAGATGGAAAAATGCACAAAATGATGTAAACATAAACTATTATATTATTAGAGAAGAAAAAGCAAAAAGATCCGCCAGCAAAGCCGGTTCAGATCGCCACAGGGACGGAGAAGAAAACGAGCAGGCTGACGGCCAGAAGGCCCCTGGTCGGCCAGGCTGCTTAGCCAAGCGGTCGGGGAAGGTCTCTCTGGGAAGGTGAGCTGTAAGCTGAAATGATCTCTGAACAGGAGCCCAGGAAAGGAGTTTCACGCTCGGAATGGCAAGTGCAAAGTTCCTGAGGTGGGAAGTAGTTTGACGCACTTGAAGAAAAGAGACGTCGCTGTAGCCAAAGTAGCATACATAACCTTCTCCAAAACTTGGGGTGAGTTTGGACCATTTTGAGGTCATGGAAAGGAAGCCCAGAGAGGTGCAGAGATTTTGATTGGGGCATCACAGCTGCTACTGATAAAACTAAGGTCCATGTGACCCCAGAGCCTGTGTCTGCCATGAAAGCAGCGGCCCACTAGCAGCCCAGGCCCCCAGGAACGCAGCCCAAGCTGGGTAAGTTCAGTATGAATTTCATGGTGGCTCTGAATTAGGGGTCAGCCCGAGAGAGGAGCCACTGGCTAACTGGTGGCCTGACCGCCGTTCACACCAGCCCCCCAAGTGTGGCCAAGGACCCTCTGTAAACAACACATCAGAGGTACCTCCAGTTAGCATCTGCCTCGGCATCAGACTAGCCACACCCAGCAAGTGGGGTCTGAGGTCACCTGGGCAGTGGAGAGAGAAGCTGGACGTGGGGCGGGTGGACAGCATGGGGTGTTTACGGAGCCCCTTTTACGTGCCAGGGTCTCTGCCTCTCAGTGCATCCTCATGTAACTCGGCTGCACCCCTGATCGCCCTTACACTGAGAGCTGGGTTCCTCCGGCAGCTGGCCTACAGTGAGGCACCTAGACTGCGGGATGCCAAGGTGCAAACAGGTTCCAGGGCTCTGCCCCTCGGCCCAACCTCTCTAGTTCCAGGTGATGCTTGGCTTAGACAGAAAAGCTCATCATGGCCTCAACCCATCCTCTTTGTCACAGCCGCTGACTGGCCAGGTTCTTCCAACAGGAACCTCAGATGGGCTGACAGCCAAGGGCTATCGAGTCTGGGACTTACCAGTAGGCTCCCCAAAATGCTCAGTAAAATCCTGCAGCTGCCAGTTGCTGTAGCACCAGCTCTAGAGAAGGTGGCAGCTGAGTTATCTTAATTTTGAAATTTTTTTTATTTATGCACACAAGAGCTGGGTGTAGGCCAGAGGTGCTGGGTGCTGAGAGGACTCACCAGAGGCAGAGTGGGGAGCAGAACAGGCAGGTCTACTGAAAGCACTGCTGAGGGGAGCAGCAGGCGGGTCAGGAGAGGTCTGCTGGGCCATGTGGTTCAGCTCCCTGGCTGGGGATCGAACTCATATCTCAGTTGCTGCCAACAGCTTCAGTGCTGAGACTTAACCCCCTGTGCTGTCAGGGAAGCCCCTGAGTTATCTTAAGTGACTAGATGGGACTAGGGATCCCCCTCACAGGGTGGCAGAACGGGCTCACACCAGATCCCATCTGGCTGGGGGCACATTCTAGGAGAGCAGGGCTCCTTTCTGTTTTACCTGGGCCTCTTCTAGGTAGACCTCTCCTAGGCCCTGGCACAGAACCTGGAGTCCCTAGGGGCCCAGGGAACAGGTGCAGATTGGCAGTGATACATGTGAGCCAGCGCCTCGCCAGGTCCCCAGCCTCTTGCTAGGGATCTTATGTTAGTGCTGAGCCACCTGAGTTATTAAAGAATTGCTTCGGAGCCCAGAAAAGGTACTGACCCGTGAGTCACATTCCCCAGGTATTCTGTTATAGCTGGTTTAGGGACAACACAGGCTCTAGCACCTTCTAAAATTCTTGGCTGCTATGGGCAGCCAAGGTGGAGGGAGTGGAGAGTCCCAGGTAAAACGGTCAGGAGCCCTGTCCCCTAGAATGTGCGCCCCAGACCAGATGGGGCCTGGTGTGAGCCACTCTGCCACCCAGTGAGGGAGATCCCTAGTCGCATCTGGTCTCTTAAGATAACTCAGGGGCCTCCTCATCACCTAATTTTGTTCGCCCGAGGAGCTGATCACTCTCACGCTGTCCATATTGCACATGAGAAAGCAGATGCTCAGACAGGTTAATCAGCCAGTCCAGGGTCACACAGCAAGGGGGCGGCAGAGTCAGAGTTGTCACTGAGGCAGCAGCCAGAAGCCTCCCAGGTGAGCGGAGGGAAGAGGGAGGAAGGAGCAGGCAGGGCTAGAGGTGCCCACCTTGACCACAAACTCTCAGGGAAGTCCCCCTCCATGATGGGCCTGCCCAGAGCTCTTTCTAGCAAGAGGGACACCTTCCTGTACCTGTAACCTGGCCCCTGGGTCAGGTATGAGTGTCAGGCAGGTGTCTGGCTCAAGGGCAATGCGCTCACAGACTGGACGGTGACAAAGCCCTTCCCTCGTGGCTTAATCCCAGTTTACACAAGTTAAGTAAGCATTTATGAAATTAATTGCTTGATATTCATTTTACAAGCCAATGAGTAGACCAGTGCACTGTTCATGTTTTCCTTTAATCCCAAACAGCCTCTGTCCTCGTTGGGCCCCCAATCAGCTGGTGTTCCGCCCCTCTCTCCATAATGATCAGAGCCTCCGAGCAAGCTGTTCATTCATTCACTCATTGCTCATTCATTCATTCGCTCAGCATCTTCTCTGCGCCAGGCTGTCTCTTAGATACCAGAGCGTTTTCCTGTGGGTAACCACGCATCAAACAGCAATGAGAGAAAGGCCTGGATTCGTGTTGATTTTCGCTTGCCTTAATGTAAAACAGGATTGCCCGCATTTCAGATTTTGCTAGTTTATCTTGCACGGCCAAAGCCCCAGTTATCTCTGCTTCACTAAGTCTGGAGATTGGTTTGGAACTTGAACATATATTCTTCGAAACCATTAAAAGTGGTTTAATTGGCTGTTCGGGGATATCCTCCACGCTGCTTTCCAAATGGATCATCCCTCTCCATCTCGCCCCTGAACTGGGAGGCCCGAAGCCCTCGCCTGGATGATCCACTCCCCTGGATTAATTTTTCTTGCTCTGGTTTGCAGAAACATCCAGTCTTGCAATGCAGAGCCAGCTCTGTTCACAACCGCACATCCAAATCCTACTCAAACACCCAGGGAGCCCACAAACCCACGGCCCCTCGTGACGAGGCCACGGCAGCATCTCCCGAGGGGACCTGTTTTTTTTTTAAAAAATCAGGCCTTACTTTGACAAAAAGTGAGACCAGCAAATCCAAAGGAGGACTTCAGGGAGAAAGGTAGGCGGCCACCCAGATGATGTGGCAGGGCAGGAAGCAATGACCTTGGGGGTCAGGCTGCCCTGACCCACTGGCCAGTCACAGCAGGAATCTGCAGGACACAGGGCTTGGCTGAAAGGCAGCTTCTCCAGGTCTCCCCTGTGTGACCTTGAGCCAGTCACATAACTCCCCGAGCCTGTCTCATGGTCTAGCTCGTCGCCTCTTGGAAAGTTAAGGGAGGTCATGTGTGCTGTGGGTGACAGACCACAATGATTGTTCCGCGCTGGTTCAGCGAACACTCCAGAACCCCAGTGCCCAGCTGGCAGTGGTTGGAAAGTGCTTCCCCCCATTCTGGAAACGCTACGGGGTGAGGGTATTTGTACAGTACACACATGTGTGTGTAAGCAGACAGATACCTCTAGCCCCACAAACAATCCGTGTGTGTATTTTACAGAGGTCAATAGAGATAGGAAGCTAGGCTGGAGATTAGAGAGCAGCACAAACTCCAGGATACTCTCTTAAAATCATTGTTAGATGATTTCTTGTGCCTCAGGAAGAATTTGGTACATAACAGACCATGTTTGTTTGCTGAATAAATTTAAGAACCTGTGATGTGTGTGTGTGAGAGAGGCAGACAACGTTTCTATGCTGTTGTAACAGTAACTATAGAAGCAGGGGTAATGACACAGTGACTACAGAATAGCAAAATGAAATTAAATCAAAATACCAGAAAATATAAACTTTTAAAAAATTATTTATTTATGCATACAGAACTGGGGCACAAGCCAGAGGTGCAGGGGCGATGAGAGGATTCACCAGAGACAGAGTGGGGAGCAGAACAGGCCGACTGATGAAGTCCACTGCTGAGGGGAGCAGTGGGGAGACAGGAGAGGTCTGCCGCGCCATGTGGGTCACGTCTGGGGCGGGGATCGAACTTGCACTGAAGCAGCTGTGGCCAGCCTGCAGTGCTGCGTCCTAACCTGATGCGCTACCGGGGAGGACCCATAAATATAAATTTTCTAATTGCCTCTTTTTATCTTTTCCCTTCCAGTTACGGTGACAATGTTAAAAAGCTATCCACATACCAGTTAGAGTTGAGTTTCAAATAAAAAGGAGAATGTTATAGTGTGAGTATGCCCCGCCTCCTGAATAGCCATACAGGACGTGGGACATACTCATACCAAAAAAGCCTTCGCCCTGTGTCTTCTGTTTGCTACACTGGTCACCCTAACTCACCGCTTCAGACATGCCTCTGCAGTGCCCAAGGGTGTCTGCGCCTGTCCTCACCTGTTGGGTGAAGCAACCTCCCAGCCTGGCATCAGGCCAGCGCCCCTCTGCCGCCCTGGCCCCACTGGGCGCTGGACACCCAGCCGCTTCTGGCGTGGCCCCACCAGGCTGCCTGCTGGCAGCAGGGGCCCAGAGTCGTTTCTGTCTGTTTGTTACTTCACGTTGGTTCCAGATAAAGTGGCAGACATACGAGCTGGGCACGGAGCCCTGCTGTCTGGTGCATTTAAAACGCAATCACCTTTCCTGTCACAGGAGCTCACCTGGGAGCCTTGCCAGGGGATCGGCCGTAGCTGGGGTCTGGGTGCTGGGGTGCCGGGGCCTCGCCCGGTGTCTGGCTGTTTTCCCTTGCCTGCCTGGGGTTTGTTTGGCTCTTTGGGTCTCCCCGCTGCGTAGATGGGTGTCCCCAGGCAGCCTTTGGAGGTTTGGACAAACACCCTGGAAGGAGGAGCGGGACTTACCGAGGGCAGCGAGGGGCCTTGCGGGAAAGACGGGAGAACAAGGTGGCTGGAGCCCCTGTGCAGCCCGGGGTGCACCCTGCGCCTGTCGCCTTGCTTGGAAGAAAACGGAGGCGCCATCCTGCATCTCTGGGTGCTCAGCTTACACTGAGAGCATGGGAAGTGTCCTCAGCACCCTGTCCTTGTGCCCCCACACCTGGGTGGGCCCCTCACGGCCACTCTGGTCAGGAGGCACCGAACTGAAACAGCACTGAGTGGGCACTTAGCTGATGACAAGACTCGACCCGCCTCTGAGCCCCCTTGCAGCGCATGCTGGAGACACTGGGGCCTGGGCCCCTGCTGGCCTGTGCACCCCTGGCCTGGGTCCCCAGGGTGCCAAGGAAGCGTGTGTTCTCCAAACCAAACTACCGCACGCCAGGTTCTTTGCAGCCATCGCCCCACTGACTTCTCTGACTCGGAGGTTGGCAGCTGGCGCCTCACTCATAAAGCTTAGCAGTCTGAAGTTGCCGCTGGCCTTCGGGGCGGAGGGCCTAGCTGCTGGCTGGGCCCTGCCATCTTGACGAGGCCTGGGAGACGCTGGAGGGGGATTTGGGCTCCCACACAAGACTGGGCATGCCTACCTCCCCTCTCGCTTCGTCCTGGGAGCAGGGGACGACCCCCACCCTCCATGCCCACTGGATGCATCAGGTTTGCTTCAAAGTCTGCCCAAGTCACAGAGGGCCTCTGCCTCCCTCCCCAACTCACAGTCCTTCCTGGCTGGGCTTTTTTTTTTCTCTGTCTCTGTGGGTCTGGCCCCTCTCCCTGAAAATCCAGTTTGCTGGTATTAAAAGAAACACACAATCACTAAACATGTTTTATAGAGTCTTTGAAGTCTGAGGGCTGCAGGCTCCGCATTGATCAGCACGTGGATAGTGAGCAGAGAGCTGCGACGGCTGGCATTGGGGGTTGGGGGGCTGCCTGTGGAACCTCTGAAAGGGGTCTGATCCCTCAGGGGCTGAGTAATTAGGCTGTCCTCTGGACACAGAGCAGAAAAGGTATGTTCTGTGCACCCCAGTGCTCCAGACGGCATCTTTATACCTAGGAAAGGACTGAGATGAAGATGGGTTGCTGTTGTGTTTCCAGTGAAGCCAGACTGGCTCTTCCCCATGGCCCCCAAGTGGCGGGACCCTGTGGAAAAGTTCTCACCTGCCCCAGAGTCACTACCTGTGATCCTCCCCTGAGCGCCAGTCCGAGATCTTGGGGCTCCACAGCCTGTCCCCAGAAGCTGCTAGCGAGAAGTGCCAGCATCAGTGGGTGACGGGCCTTTTACCACTCACCAGTGACCCCTGGGCTCAGGTTGTAGGCAGAGGCCGGGCTTGGGGGTGGCAGGGGGTCCCCTACCACACCACCCCAGGGCACGCAGCCCCTGGCTCAGGGCTGTGGAGAGGAGCCCAGTGGGACCAGCTGCAGGCAGTGGAGAGGCCTGTGGATTTGGGGCCTGGACCGAGGAAGGGGCCCTTCAGGTGCAAGCTGTGAGCTGATTGGTGCCGCGATCCAATCAGCAAAAGGACTGGAAACGGTCCAATCAGACCCATGGGCGGAGGACCCTGAGAAGATATAAGGCAGGGCAGGGGCCAGCTGGGGGCTTTTGAGCGAAGCAGCTCTGGGCCTCCGAGGGAGGAAGGCGCCGGCCTCCAAGGAAAGCTGCGGAGGCTTTGCAGAGACGCGGCCGGCCATAGCTGCCTCTGACCAGGCCCCACGGAGCACCAGGGGCCCCGGCCATACCTGCCTCTGACCAGGCCCCACGGAGCACCAGGGGCCCCGGCCCGGGCCTGGCGTCTCTAAGAGCTGTTTGTTGGTGTCCAGCAACCTGAAGAGCCGTTACCATGGTGTTTCTGACTCATCTGCCTCCTGTTGACTGGGCTGACCGGCCTCGTGTCCTGGTCACCTCTGGGGCCGTTAACCAACCGCTGCTCCTGACTGTTTGACTCCAGTTCCCGCTGCTGCTGCCTCCGTTGCCGTCTGGTCCAGCGTCCAGTGCCGTCCATCCCGACCTTCAGAGTGTGGCCGGGGCTGCCGCGGCCCCACCTGTGAGCGCCTCCAGCTGCGGTGAGGTAGGCCTGGCCGCTGCCTGCTGGCTACTGCGCATTCCAGGTCCTCCGGGACGGGACGGCGCCATCTTGGATGAGCGGCCCATTGCTCAGGACTTCTGGATGCTGGACACTGGCGGGGGTGAGTTAGCTGGCTACTTGTGGCCTTGGAAACTTTTTGTTCCCCTGTTTGTTAAGTAAGCCCCATTGTTCCCCGAACCTGAATGGTCTTGGAGTCGTGTTCCTGGCGAGAGCCCAGTGAGCTGTGCTCTGCCCGCCTCTGCCCTGTAGACCCTGCAGCCTGCTGTAGCGGTGTTTCTCTAGTGCCCATGTACTGTGGACGCAGGTGGTGAGTGCAAGTGGGTGGGAAGGTGGCTGCCGTCAGCCCTTCCTAAGAAGCCGCTTGGCTGGGGATGTCACCTGAAGGGCACAGTCAGCGGGGCACGGGGCCTGGTGTCCTTTGGCACAGAGGAGGAGCCCAGCAGTCAGCAGGTCCAGGAGGGGAGGACCTTCTGCCTTAGGAAGGTGCCTGTCTGATGGAGGCAGTAACCCCAGGGAGTTCTTCACTGGCGGAGATGAGGCCCCTAGTGTCAAGGAAGCTCCGGGATAATGGCGATGAGCTCAAGACGCCCCAGGATGATGGGTCCGGGCCCGAGGGCCTCCTCACTTGATGGTGAAAGGCACAGTCCCTGATCTCCGGGCTCCCAGGCGGAGGCAGTTGTGACCTTTGTCCCAGAGGCTCTAGGTAGAGAGGAAGACCTACCCACATAACGTGAAAAACACCTTTCTGGGTGTTCTCCTCGGTCTCAACCCTCACCCACCAACTAGACAGTTGTACCCCTTCCCCCAGACCTCCATAGAGGTGCCTCCTGGAGACAGAGGGGACAGCTCTGCCCCCCATCCCACCGCCGCCACCTGGGAGGTGGACTTCAGGCTTGTTCCCCCAACTTCCGGCCGCCGCCCCCACCCCCGCCAATGTTCCTCAGTTCTCCCACTGCCCAATCCCTCTGACCCATCCCTTTCCCCCATCCATCCATCTCTCCTCGCCACCTAGAGTGTCCAGCCCTGCACATGAATTCCAGTGACAAACCCCCATGTGAGTGGCCTTCACCCAACTTCCTCATCTTCAAACTCCAGCACCTACCCAGAGCCTGCAGCGCACCCTCTCTCCCTCACACACTAGGGCCGCTTATATGCACTGCCTCGTGCCACCACGTGCCACCAAGTGGTGTTGGTGATGGGGGGGACCCAGGCTCCGAGAAGCTCCGGAACTGGCCCCCATGTTCTGGGGAATTCCTGTCATCCCTGGGTGTCCCTTCTTGAAGGACGTTCTGACCCCCCACTCTGCACCCCACAGCCTCCTGCGTGTCTTTGTAGCATGGACCCCAGTGTATTAGCTCATCACCTCTGCAGCTTGTGCTCTGCCCTCGCCCACAGCCCCGAGGGAGGGGCTGTATCTATCTGCCCTTTGTATCGTGACCCTTGGTGGGGACGCTGCCACAGAGCAGACCCCCAGTGACAGTTTGCTCTTGGAGGACTGGTTTGCTTTTTGAGGCTCACTGGTTTCGTGCCCCTTGAGCTTTCTGGCCTTCGCTGGCCTATAGTGTGCATTGCCATTCTCTCTCTTTTTTAAAGATTTGGTTATTTTTGCATAGAAGAACTGGGGTATAGACCAGAGGTGCGGGGTGGGGGGTGAGAGGACCCACCAGAGACAGAGTGGGGAGCAGAGAGGCAGATCCATTGAAATCCACTGCTGAGGGGAGCAATGGGAGGGTCAGGAGAGGTCTGCTGCACCGTGTGGGTCAGCTCCCTGGCTGGGAATTGAACTCGTGCAGCAGTGACAGGACAGGCAGCTGCTCCATAGTGCTGAGACCTTGTGCCACCAGGGAGGCCTCCCAGTTCTCTTAAAATTCCTCTTCCCATCTCCCCCAGCGAGAACAAGATCACACCACTTCATGCCAATCCAATTAGGAGAAAATGAGAAATTGGATCGAGTTTCGACAACAGTGTGAGGGAGCATCAGTGTTCTGGAAGAAGCCTGGCCACATTTAGGGAAATGTGTGCTGCCTGCCTGCACCCTGCCCCCTTCTCAGAGAGCCGAGGCAAGCGTCATCTGGGTGTTGGGACCCTCACAGGTGGGGCTGGGGCGACGTTAGGGGCCGGCCTTCCAGAGCCCGTGTCTCTGTAACCTCTGTCTCCACCAGAAGCATCGGATGAGATTTACGCAGAGGAGCACGGGTGGATCTCTAGAAGCCAGTGTTAAGTGAAAAATTAAGCAACAAAATGAGATGTACAGCCCAATACAATTTATGTAAATTAAAACACATTCACACAATAAACAACACCATATATTTTCCAGCAAGCACCCGTTATCTCAGGACATATATTAGAGATGATGCTAGCATGGGGCTGTAGGGGGGTGCTGGTGGGGGACACAGGGCTTGATGGGGGCGCAGGGGAGAAAGTCCAATGAAGCAGAGCAAGGTGGGGCAAGGAGTGATGAGGACATGAGCGAGGGGTGTGCTGGGTGAAGCCTGCCAAGGTAAAGGTGGCAACATTACTCATCCATATCCGGCACCCCTTCCTCCCATGGGTCCCCGTGGGGTCACAGCAGCGTGGACAAGACTTCCCAGACTCCTCTTGCAGACTTCTTACGCTGCCCCATCTGTGTGTCACTGTGCCGGTGCCCACAGGAGCACCTGGTCTTGTACCTGTACCCTGGGGTATACAATCACCCCTGACTGAGAACCACTGAAGGGAAGACAATCCTGAAAAACTCTCAGATCATCCAGGTCCACGCCCTCCCTCCTTGTGTTACCCAAACCCAGGCACTGAGAGACAAAACCGAGAGTCGGTTAGACGAGGGCAAGGGTGCCGGTGTTCAAGCTGCCAACATCACGGGTGTGTGTGAAGCGTGGCTCTGGGAGACTCCGGTTACAGCCCAGGCCTGATCTGCCCTGGGCTTCCTCCTAATTTTAACCGGCAGCTGGATTTGCATAGGACATTTGCATCTGAGATTACCCAGGGTTCTCTGGGAAAGTCTATGGCAGAGGATGGCAAAAAATATATAATTCCATTTCAGCTTCCAAGAGGGGAGGGGGGAGGGAATGTTTCTGGGAGGGAGGGCGCCGGTGGGAAATTTCAGTGCCTGTGCCCTTGGTGAGGGGCCAAGGAGGGAGGTCCAGCTGGCCCCTGGGCAGAGAGGACCCAACAGCCTGACCCTGGGTCTGTGAATTAGGGAGTAAGGTGGTGAGGGAATGGGGTCCCCAGGGATGCTGCTGCTGAAGTGGAGGCGGGTAGGCAGGAGAGGGTGGCATAGACCAGGTCACACACCAGCACCCAGTGCCAGCCCCTGCCCAGGACCTGCTGTCTGCTAGAGAGTGCTCCTCCGTCTTCCTGCCATACTGGGCATTTCCTCACACAGCTGCCTGCCCCTCAGGTGAGACCTCACTCCTCTCATTTAGAAGAGCAGGAGACAGGTGCCAGGTCTCCCCTTAGCAAGGAGCCGAGTCTGCATTGGAAGGGAAGGCTGCCAGAGTTGAGAACCAGTTCTCCTTCCAGACCCTCCCCCAAAGCTCCGTGCTGGTGGAGAAACATGGAGCCTCAGCCCTCCACCCCAGCAGCTCACGCTCGGCCCAAGCCGCACCGCCTGGGAAGCGCGTTATTGCAGGCATTTATTCTATGTCTCTTCCCCTCTCTAGACTGGAAATATCTTGGGGGCAGATATGGTGATATCAGCAGATTCACCTCTCCCCAGTTCTCAAGAAATGTCTGTGCTGTTTTCTGTGCTAATTTTGGACTGGATTCAGGAGGGGAACCCATCAATAAGCCAGTGGAGTGCTTGCCAGGAGGAGTTGCTTGGTTTTCCCAGGAGGAAAGGGACCTTAGATGAGATGTCCCCAAGTCAGATGTCGCGGGAAGTCGTGTGTGCCCCAGTCACAGAACACCTTGCACTTTGATCTCAAGGAGTATGCTAAGGTGTCCTCGGTGGGGTGGGGAGAAGCGTGTGGATGTGTCCATTTGTTTCTGCATGCTCAGTGCTTCACACAGGAAAGCACATAGAGGGACGGGTGGAGGGACAGAAGGACAATAGAAAGATGAAGAGGTAGATGGACGCATGAGAGAAATGGTCAGCTGGTGTTTAAGGGTTGAGTGAGTGGATTCTTTTGTGATGGCGGATGTATGGGTGGGTTATAGAGGGACAGATGGGCCCGTGGTGGATTGTGGGGTGTCTGGACATGGGAGAATGAGTAGGTCAGTGGATGGGTGGATGCAAGTTTGAATGTTGGTTTGATGATTCGGGGGTTGGTTTAATGCACCCCAGGGTCATGACCGGCTGGAAGGCTCCACATAGTATGGGGGACAGTTGACCGGCAGTAGAAATTGGCCTTGCGTCTCCTAGCATCACGCACAACCTCTAAAGTGAAACAACCCTTTGTGCTTGGCGCTTCTGGGTCCCACCTGAAGCCCCACCTCTCGCTCGCCCCCATCCTCCAGGCTGTCTCCCAGGTGCCAGATGGAAGTCTTCCCGGGAAGTTCAGCTCCAGTCTCTGCTGAGCTTTCTATGCCGTGCAGAGATTTAGCACTTAACTCCAGCCTCTCTCCGCTCCTTACCTGCCTGAGGAGGTAGAGGCAGTGATTTGCATATTTATTAAATATCTCTTAGCAGGATACACAAGCCGCATTGCTACATCCGCTCTCGAGTCGACCTGCTGGCAGACAAGAATGTGTGTGATCAGCGCCACATCACTGCCCGTTAAATAGCTGTTCCTGGGCGGGGAGGCACAGGGGGCCCTGGGGCCCCGGGATTGGGGGAGAAGGGGGTCCCGGGGGCTGGGACCTGCCTTCTCGCAGTTGCTGAGCAGCAGGAGCTTTTGTTCTCTGCCCAGGGGGAAGAAGTCTGAGGGCATCTCCGCCAGCCCCAACCCCACATGGGTAGCCCCGAAAATCTGTTGTTCCTTGGGCAAGCCCACAGAGGACACTAGAAGCACCTTTGGGGTTTCCCCTGGTGCTCAGTTTATCGGGCATTTCCTCTTGGTGCTCTGCCTTGGCATTAGCCCGCTGCTGGTCTGTTGCCTTTGGTCAAAATGGAGGACCAGCATCCACCCTGGGTGGGGTGCCCATGGCCTTGCAGAGCCAACC